TTGCGGTCCAATTCCCGGTGTTCGGGTCCTTCCACGTAGAAAAATTATTAGCCATTAATTCAGATTTACTTTTTTTTGTACTTGTTTGGGATGAGGCTGCTTGGTCGGCGTCATGGCTGCCGCCACCCTCCTCCTCGTCGTCGTCGTGGCTCTCCGGAATTGCTTCCTCCACATCGTCTTCCTCGTCCTCGAGCTCTTCTTCGTCAATGGTCCTCGGTTGGTCTTGAAAAAAGCGGGAATTATGTCGGTGCAATTCTTGTTCTAGTTGTTCGTCGGTCATCGCATCCCCATCCCTCCTTACGTAACCCGTATCAAAATCATCTTGACTTTGAGATGAAGAGCCGATATGTGATTTACCTTTGCGGGATCTCTTCCTCGCAAGCTCGTTCGTTCGGTTGCGCTCGAGGTTACCCATATCAACCGAATATCTAGGACGATCCATCTAAAAAATGTAGCGATTAATAAAAAATTGTAAAAAACTAATTAACTATTTATCTAACTATTAATTCGAGTTATAGCAAATTAAGTAGTGAATTAACTAGTTTTGTGTACAACACATTTTTTAAACTAGAGTCAAATGTAGCAATTAATAAAATATTGTAAAAAACTAATTAACTATTTATCTAACTATTAATTCGAGTTATAGCAAATTAAGTAGTGAATTAACTAGTTTTGTGTACAACATATTTTTTAAACTAGAGTCAAATGTAGCAATTAATAAAATATTGTAAAAAACTAATTAACTATTTATCTAACTATTAATTCGAGTTATTGCAAATTAAGTAGTGAATTAACTAGTTTTGTGTACAACATATTTTTTAAACTAGAGTCAAATGTAGCAATTAATAAAAAATTGTAAAAAACTAATTAACTATTTATCTAACTATTATTTCGAGTTATAGCAAATTAAGTAGTGAATTAACTAGTTTTGTGTACAACATATTTTTTAAACTAGAGTCAAATGTAGCAATTAATAAAATATTGTAAAAAACTAATTAACTATTTATCTAACTATTAATTCGAATTATAGCAAATTAAGTAGTGAATTAACTAGTTTTGTGTACAACATATTTTTTAAACTAGAGTCAAATGTAGCAATTAATAAAATATTGTAAAAAACTAATTAACTATTTATCTAACTATTAAACAAGAGTCAAATGTAGCAAATTAACTAGTAATTAAACAAGTGTAAATAATAGAATAATTTCGTACCTCTTTCGGGACTTTCGGTCTTTCGGATGGGAGTAATAGAATGACTTCAAATTAATTAGATATAATTCCAACTATATTAATAGATATAATAAATATATAAGTAATATATAATTAGATAACAAATATAAGTAATATAAAACTATTTATATCTATTTATAGTTTATATAAGTAGATAATTAATATAAACTATAAATAATAAATATAATATATTGGAGAATGGAGAATAAGAGAATTAGAGAGTAGAGAGTTAAGAATAGGATTTAGGAAGAATTGGAGAAGAGATGAAAAAATGTTTAAGATTAGGAGTATTTATAGGTTTTTTTACCCCCCCCCCCACCACCACCCACCACCAGCCAACCCCCCCGGACCCCCCCTTTACCCCACCCAACAGCTATATAGCCGTTTGGGTTGTCCCCAGCCCCACCCCCAACGGCTAGTAGGAGCTAGGGATGGATTCGGTTCGGGCCACCCGGCCCGTGACCCGGCCCGGCCCGGTACTGTGCGGGCCCGGGACCGGCCCGGTCGGGCGGTCCGGGACCGGGTATGGGCCCGAACCGGTGGGAAGGGGCGGGGCGGGCTCGGTTCAGCATTATTGTGACCCGGCCCGGCCGGGTCGGGCCCGGGTCCGGTTCAATTTTAAAAAAAAAAATTGGTTTGGGCTCCTACTAGCCGTTGGGGGTGGGGCTGGGGACAACCCAAACGGCTATATAGCCGTTGGGTGGGGTAAAGGGGGGGTCCGGGGGGGTTGGGTGGTGGGGGGTAAAAAAAACCTATAAATACTCCTAATCTTAAACATTTTTTCATATCTCTTCTCCAATTCTTCCTAAATCATATTCTTATCTCTCTACTCTCTAATTCTCTTATTCTCCAATATATTATATATCTACTCTCATATTCTCTTCTCCAAGAAGTTAAGATGGAAAATCAAAATGCCATTATACGGTATAATTTTGATAAGCAGAAGGACCCGAAGACCGGGATGTGGTACGCAATTTGCAAATGGTGCGAAAAAAAATGTATCATGGGGGCTTCAGGCGGATTCGGGATGGCAATCAAGCATATGAAGTCATGTGACAAAGCCAAAGGATCGGGAGGTGCAGGAAGTTCCGATTGATTACAATTTTCAAAATGTTTCTCTCTTAAAGTTTGTTTTAATTTTCAAATGTAGTTCCTATTTCATTTCAAATAAATGCAATTGAAGTTTGTTTTTAATACTCGTATAAAACTATAAACTATAAAATATAAATTATAAAAAAAAATTAACCGGCCCGGCCCGAACCGGACCCGTCCAACCCGCGGGCCGGTCCCGGGCCCACTTTTCTTGAACCGGCGGCCCGACCGGGCCTAGGCCCGGGCCGGGCCCGACACGGCCCGAATCCATCCCTAGTAGGAGCCCAAACCAAAAAAAAAAATTTGTTTTTAAAAATAGACCCGGACCCGGGCCCGGGCCCGACCTGGCCGGGTCACAAAAAACCAGAACCGAGCCCGCCCCGCCCCTTCCCATCGGTTCGGGTCCATACCCGGTCCCGGACCGCCCGACCGGGCCGGTCCCGGGCCTGCACAGTACCGGGCCGGGCGGGGTCACGGGCCGGGTGGCCCGAACCGAATCCATCCCTACTTCCACCCCTTGATTGAGGTGTGATTACCCTTGAAAAGAATATGCCCCGTTCGAGATCTGGCGGCTAGATACCCATGGGTTTGTTGGGGGGCTACTTTAAAAAATTGATGGAATAAATCTAGGGTCGGCGAGGCACCGACATCTTTGCAACGACAAATAAAGCCCGCCATGGCCCGATAGGAGTTCGGCATGACTTGGGCAGGTACAATTTCGCAAAAATTGAAAAAAGAAACAAAAAAGGAGTGTAACGGAAATCTAAGCCCAGCCCTAACTGAATCGAAATGGACTACGACCATCCCGGGGGCGTGATGCAGGGGATGAAGCCCAGCTCGCAACCGGAAGTCCACTGGGTCTGGGATTAGGGCCAGAATTTCGGCCCTATTATTGGCAGTCAATTTTTGCCGTCTTGCCCTAATTAAACTTAGGTCGAGTGTGTGACAGGGAATAGCATTTTTTGCCGTCATTGTAAGGGTTATCATTTCGATACTGAAGCTCTAGAATAACATTATTACTCTTGTTTCTTGTATTAAAAGCACTGTTCTAACGTACCGATTGGGAAGTTTCCTTGTAATCAGACAAGTTAATTAATACAAGTGAGCTTTGAGTATTAGTTGATTCAGATTTTATATTTTGTTATACACTTTGATTCTGATCCATTCATGATATATCCAAAATTCGTGTTGGACTTTCGGATTTACGAGACTTAATCTCAACAATCATGCTTATTCAATTCTCCTTGATGGTTAGTTACACAATGACAATGAACAAAAGTCAAAGGTAATTGTTGAAAACCTTGAGTGTCTTCTTGTGACATCTTATTTTTACACATTGACCATTGCATGTTACAATTCTAAGGATGATAGAAATGTCATCATCATCATCATTCATCGTCATCATTACCTCAGTGCCGCAAAGACTTCCTCCGTCTACAGTGGGGGGTAAGGGAGAATCGAATGTACGCAATCTTACTCATGTACTAAACACAGAGAGACTGTTTCAAGATGACTGACCCTAAGAATGATAGATATGTCTCGCTGGAAAATCATGATATGTGAAGGTGAAAGAAATCCGAAAAAATTACAAAAAGAATGTTGTTTACATGAAGTTTTCAACAACTTATAATATGTGTACATATTAAACTTTTGATAATTATTACTACATATCACCCATGTGATAAACAATATTTATAATATCTAAGTACAAATTATTACATCCCGAGCAACGCATGGGTGGAATACTAGTGGGGCCAATTTTAGGGGTGGACTCGGGCCGAGCCAACCGGCCCGCCACTGTGCGGGCCCGGACCGGCCCGGGAACCGGTTCGTTGGGCGGTTCGGGCCACCCGGCCCGGTGGATTCTCGGTTCAGGCTCGGGCCCTTCAAAATGTGAACCGGCCCGGCCGGTTCAGGCCCGGGCCGGGCCAATTTTAATTTTGTTTTTGAATTTTTTTTGAGTTTTTGGGTTGGGCTGGTTATTTTGGGCCATTTGAGGTGGTTAGGGTTGGTTTGAGGGTGAGGGGGAGGGGGGGTGGGGGTTAACTAGGAAAAGCCCCCCCCAAAAAAAAAAATACCAAGGCCCAGCCCGGACCCGGGGTTTACCCGGGCCGATTCCGAGCCTCCCCTTCTTGAATCGAGGCCCGGCCGGGCCCGAACCGGCCCGAGTCCACTCCTATAGCCGATTAGTTGAATATTTTTCAAAAAATTAAAACGAATAAGTGTAATATACTAATGTACTACTATTCACATATACTTAATATATTAAATAATAAATACATAAACTATTATAATATGTATATTATTGTGCAGGTCAGGTAATGGTGCAGGTGACCGTATCCAAATTAAACGAGGCGGGTAACAGAGCGGAAGGTTTAAACCCATAACCACCTCATTACCCGTTTAAATAAATCAGGTATTCCCCGCCCCATACCCGCTACCCGATCAAAGTGGTTTTCCCCATTTTGACCGGTTCAATTTGGTGCAGGTATCCATCGTGTAGGGTTAAATTACCATCCCTAGCAAAGTCCAATGGGATAGAGGGAGTATAATTTTACAAAAAAAAATCAAAAACTGGATTGAAAATCTCAATCCAAAGTTCCAAACTGATCCTGAGGGAGGGGGGATCCGAAGAATTTCAACAACCTGTGAATATCTAGGGCTTAATAGAACCAAGATTAAGACTCGTGATTTAATAAAAATTAAAAATTTAGTTCATTTGGCAGGAGTTAAATATCAAACAAAGAGCAAACATATGGTTATGTAAAAGAACAGTTCAAGCTATACCCTAATACCCCTATCATTACACTCAACATCCAGCAAAAATGTGAAATATCAGGGAAAAGGTCCATAAGAAAGAAAGAAAATGGAAAACGATAGACAAGGCAATGCAATCCATTTCCCAAGTTCAGCTTGACCTACATTTGCTACCAATTTTATTACTTCTTCTTTCCCGCCTTGGCAGCATCTCCCGCCTTTGTCTGCAAAATGTGTAAAGTAGTAATTAAATCACATCCTGTCCGCAAGATCATAAACACATAAGAATTATTTCTTAAAAGGAATTGTTAGTTGGTCAAAACCTTCTTCACTCCTCTGATTTTCTTAGATCGGTTCTTCCGTTCCTTCATTTGCTTTCTTGACTTCTCAACTTTAGTATCCAACCCATTCTGCACGAGGACATAGATGTTAATCACATAGCAGTATCTTCAATATAGTCGTAGTTTTGCAAATATAGCTCCATCAATCCCAAAAAATTTACTCCGTATGTTTTAAGAAAAAAAACTGTTTTAAAAGTAACTTTGGTGGTGAACATATAGGGCTCCTGTACAGCCAAGCCCACAGACAGGTTTTGGTCAATCACATTAAACAAGGTAATCAATATGTTTAAGGGGATATGTGACAATAATTTCATATTCATAACAAATATGGAGTAATAATTACTAGCTTATATAAAAATAAAAAAATAAAGAAAGAGTATCCAAAATAGGAGTAAAAATAATGTAAAATTATAGAAAAAGAGTAGTATGTTTTCCTTAAATAGGAGTAACTTACTGTCATCCAGAAACTTACATTAATATATTACTAGTCTTCAATACGGCAGTAATTCTGTTATAATTTCTAGTATTTTCCAACCATGGAAAAACTCCTATTCAGGGATTAAAAGTAGTGCCCATTTTTTTGGAATTACACATTATTTTACACCAATTTAGGGCAATTTCTTTAAAGTAAAAGATATAGCCTCCCCTCAAAAAATAATTCATTGGACAGAGTATAACTTTAGAAGAAACAGACAGTTTTAGGTCTAATTTGGGGTTTTGGTTAATTTGGAATGAGCTCATTATTGGAAAACAGATTTTAGAAATTATGGTGGTTTGTGTTTTCGAATTTAACAAGTGCTACACATGACATTGAAAAGTGATCTGCAAAGTTTAAGATGTCTACTGGTAAAACCTTTAACCCGAAACACAAAAGTCATCCTGGGTAGACCTTTGCTTAACCATGACTTCTAGTGTTCACAAATGCGACATAGGGCCTTAGTCACATAGAACCACTTGGAGTCTTACACAACAAAAAATGGTACACTGGCCAATAATGTAGGGAGAAATATTGCATGCTATTATGGATTCCATGATATGCCCACTTTATAAGGACATCTGTGCATTTGAGGACCACATACTTTTGTGTAAGATTGTGAAACTAATATACTAGGCATATTTATTACAGAATAATGGTAATACATAAATCCATCTAATGTTCATTGTTGTATTGGCTAGAGGCAAAATATCAAAGACGATGGGCCATTAGCTTCAAATAATGGTAAACACAGTAGTAACGTGATTTTAATAATAAAAATATAAAACTTAAATCCAGTTTTTCAATCATTTATTAATATAAAATCAACTTGAAATGAAGAATTACAAAAATTTGTTGCAGATGTAGGTACTCACGAGAAGCAGGAAGCCATAATAATGAAACAAAAAGAAAAGAACAGAACAATAAATCAATAATGAGAAATGACTTACTCTGACGAGTCTGTACTTGGGCTCGAATTTCTTTGCATTCTCAACAGAGTCATAGATCAAACCAAATCCAGTCGATTTACCTCCACCAAAGTGAGTCCTGAACTTGAATACGAATATGGCGTTGGAATCTTTTACTTCATACATCCTTGCCAGTTTCTCTTTCAGCTCCGCCTTTTATGAAGTATTACAATGAGGAAAAAAATAAGTTTCAGATTGATTTGCCAAATGTAATAGATGTGATTAGGTTCCATGTATTAAACGTAAACACACATTTCTTAAAAAGGGAAATGTCCATAATCTAACCTTGGAAACATTAGCCCTTCCAGGATGCAGAACGTCGATCACCTAAAAGAATTCAAAAACACAAAGCATTAATACAAAGAATGGCATCTAAACATGCCAACACCGTATCAATAGTATTAGTTCTTACGAATTGTTTCCTTGAGAGAAGTCGATTAGTCATGAACTTCCTCGTCCTGATGGTCACTGCCTTGTCCGCCATTTTGCTGCACCGCCCTTGGAATTGCTTCGCTTCAGCTCTCTACTCCGGCGCCTCCGTCCAGGACGATCTCCGCCGCAAAGAGCTGCTCTCTACTTAAGCAGGACCGACTGTAATGCTAGGGTTTAACTTTTCAAGTATAGACCTTGGAAAATTGTGCGTTGGGTCTTATTGTTCCGTATTGGGCCATAAAATAGTACACACTTAAAGCCCATCAGAACATGGGTCATCTCCTTTTGCGCAAAGTCCAATTTTATATTAGTACTCCATATATTTTAGAGCTGTATTCAATTTAATCATTTCATCTTCTCTTGCCCGTCGTCTCCCCCATCATGGGACGACTTACATCTGCGATTGCAATCCCAGAAGAACGGTGGCAGAACATCAGAGGCAGCGGCGGTCACCGACACTCTCCGGAGTCCGGTTCTCATCGTCGGGACTATCGCAGTCGCAGCCGGAGCCGTAGTATCAGCGCTAGGCGGAGTCGCAGCCGAAGCCCGGACTACTCGAGGTACGAACCTTCTTCCCATAATAACCGCCGTGTCGAGCGGTCATATTCCCCTCACCGTAATAATCGCTATGACCAGCAATCATATTCCCTTCACCGTGATCGCCGCCATAGCCCTAATTTCACGCCCTACAAATTCGAACAAGAACGAGTAGATCGAAGGGTACCCTATTTCAATGGAGAGCACAGAAATAGACGAGATGCCGATTCGGAATCAGATGAGGAGCTTAAAGGCTTGAGCTTTGAAGAGTTTAGGATGCGAAAGCGTCAGAAGTTAAGGAAGATGCGTAAGAATTGTATTTGGAATTGCACGCCTAGCCCACCTAGATCTGAAAACGAACCAGAGGACGACTTCGATCCAGATGAAACTCAGAACAATGATTTGAAGGATAAAGAGATTGATAGAAGGGATTCCTCTAAGGCAGATTCCAGTGTTTCCAGCAGCGAGTCATCTGACAGTGAAGAGTCATCGGAATCAGATTCCGATTCAAAATCAGATGATTCGCGGTATAGGAAGTCTAGGAAGAGCAGGAAATCTGGCTCTAGGCGTAGGACTAGGAGATTGAGATCTGTATCTGAAAGTGACACTGATTCAGGCGATTCAAGTGACGATTCAGAAGTCAAAACCAAGAGTAGAAGGAGCAAATCAAAGAGAAAGAGAACCAGGCAGCACAAGAAGAGTAGCAGAAGTAGTAAAAAGAGGAGTAAAAGTAGAAGGACCAAGAAGAGTGAAACAGAGTCATCTGGGGCTAGCGAATCATCAGAAGATGATGTCAAGTTAAAGAAGGCAAGAACATCTTCATCCTCAAAGTCTAGACACCGACAGAAAAGGAAAGTTTCTGATGATAGTGATTCCTCGCATTCTGGAGAAAGCTCTGACTCTGCAGCCGGTGCAAAAGCTAAACTAAACCCTGAAGAAACATTGGGAAGTGAAGTCAAGAATGAGGTTCTTGAATTAAAAGAACTGATCGAGTCACGTATGAAGCCTTCCGCTGAAAGCGAGCCCATAGTAGGCCCAATGCCAATGCCAAAAACTGATGGACAGCCTGTTAACTATGGAGGTGCACTTAGGCCTGGAGAAGGTGATGCTATAGCCCAATATGTTCAGCAAGGGAAACGTATTCCACGAAGAGGTGAAGTGGGTCTTTCGGCTGATGAGATCTCTAAGTTTGAGACACTCGGCTATGTGATGAGTGGTAGTAGGCATCAGAGGATGAATGCCATTCGTATCAGAAAGGAAAACCAAGTGTACAGTGCTGAGGACAAGCGTGCTTTGGCCATGTTTAATTATGAGGAGAAGGCTAAGCGTGAAACTAAGGTTATGGCTGATTTAAAGCGATTGGTGAATCGCCACATGGTAGGCCCTGATGTTATTGCTTCTCATGATCCATTTAAAGGAGGAGCGACCTCTGATGGAGCTGATGATGCCTGATCTTATGGGTGATCACTTGTATGTTGGATTTTATTGTTAGCTTACTTGAAAACCTCAGGCGAAGGGATTCAGCAAATAGGGTTGCTTATTTCTGAACTTTATCTTGATGCTTGGTCAAAATTGTGATAAAACTCCGTGGGATTACTATTCTCATATTATGAAGTTATCAAATGATTTGTTTTGTCTAATTCATGTTATGGTTTATAAGCAGTTGAGCACCCTCACATTGCAATTGCATGAGCACTTATAAAATTTGGAGTATTGTGAGTATTTGTTTTACTGAGTATTTGCCTAGATCTTATCTTACACTGATGCTATGAAAGAGAGTCTAGAAGGCTATGGAAGCATGATACTTCTGGCCTTTTTTTAGTACAAGATGCTATTGATTTGTGATACATTTGACCACTGATGTCAATAGCGGCGCTATAGCGGAATAGCGGTGTGGCAGACATTGAAGCCGCTACATGGAGGGCTCTAGTGTGGCGTTTGGGTGTAGCGGCCATAGCGCCCGCTATTGCAGTGGTGCGGAGAAGCCTTTTGCGTCCACTAAAGCGGCGCATTTTATATTAAAGAGGTTACTGCGCACTCTGAGATGGTTTTTAGTGTAAACTAAATCGATAATAGTTACTGCGCATTCTCTATTTGAGTATTGTATTGCTGCTGATGCTGATAATAATAAGAATAAGAATAATAATATGAAAAATAAAAATATTAATAATTAAAATGAAAACAACAATAACAATTTGGAGGGAGGTTGTCTGTATGGATTGATTTAAATGGAAGAGTAAAATGAAATAATTTGTAACAAATATATTTATTTACATCTGATATTACGGCTCTGATAGTTAAAGCGTTGATGCAAATAGAACTTCCCCTTTGCGTTTTGTAGCACGACAGACATTTCAAATGAAATACATTAAGAGGAAGTTTAAATGAAATATTTTATTTTATGTTATGTGAGGCCTTATAACCATTCATTTGTATAATGGAGTACTCTATTATAATTTCACTTTATAAATGAATTGCATATATGACTCCATTGTATAATCATATGTTATTCAAAGAAACAAATTGTTTTCATAACTAGATAGAAAATGCCTCTTATATCCCTTATTTGCAACATCTTTGATTTTCTATCTTAATATCCAATGTTTCGGATATATGTTGTTTGATTATGATGAAGGTGATAAATTAATAAAGATGGAGGATATACTGGTGACTTTGATTGATGTATTGAACTACTGTATGATAATAGTGGACGTGATCCAACACCTGATTTTAGAAAACTAGATCGATATCAAGTCGGGTAATAGACATGTGTGTTAATTTGATTTCACAATAAATCGTTACCAAAATCAATTCAAATTCGTATTTTTTCTAAATAAGCAATCAAATTACCGATAGAAAAGGGACACAAGTTTGGCACAATTAATATATATTATTATCAAGTAAGAAAAACAAGATTGTTCTTATTTTATAGAGAATGATAAATAATCATCAGTCATCCCTCATACTTAAATTTAATATATTTCAAGTAGTAAAATAGTGTTTGTTGGGCTAGTGTTATTCTTTGCAGTTGGATATTGGGCCGGAAATATTTCTCACGTTTGGGCTGGTGGACCACACCCGTGAAAGAAGTTATTTGAATTCAAGGAAGACATGAATGCTTCGGACGGTTATGTTGCCAAGTCAATAGCGGATAAAAGTGATTGCAGTCGCACGTGGAGAATAAAGCGGAAGCAGGCGCAAGAATTGGGGAAGAAGTAATTTTTCAGCTAATCAATAGACTTCTTAATAGCATTAACAGAACACGATCATTAGATCAACCATACTCAAAACATTCGATACTCTTGTAATCAAGCTCTCAATTACATACGAATTACCATTAAATATTCATCCATTTATTCTTGATCAAATCCATTTTCGATTCATATTTGTTCGATTCTCATTTCATTTTAGATTAGTTTATTTTGGCATAAACAATTTGGCGTCGTCTCTGGGAAATTTGCACAAAAAAGGATCGATTATGGTCGGAAGCACGAATCCCTTGCTAATAGAATTTCACGAGCAACTTGAGACCATTAGAGAAGAAATCCGGCGAGAAATGGCTCAACGGATTGGTTTTCTCCAGCGAGAGACTGATGTATTGCGCTCTCAAGTGCAAACGGTGGCATCCATAGCTTCCAACTCAAGGTTCAGTCGAGGAAGTAACGCCATGGCAGCAGCTACAAGGTTGGATTTGGATCCCATCCCGATCTCAACCCAACCCCTCACTGGTGTGACGACGGATCCTTTATCTCTCACGTTGGGGTTGTCACCCACCGGCGATCATCAAACGGAACTGTCACCTACCGACAATCCTCACGCCGCCGTCATCTCGCAAGTCATTCCGTATACTCCGCTCGTACCAGAAACAACTCCGTCCCCAAACATCCCGACCTGCTATTTTCTGGATTCCCTTCAGACCAGACCATCATCGTCGGGCTTGCAATCTCTCACACAAAGAATACCCACATCGAATGTTGGTTCAATCCCGGCCGAACCCTTCATCCCTTATGCGGCCGCCGGCATACCCAGAGAACCGGGATCATCCATTTGCTCTGGATCTCGTCCCAATCCTAGGCGAGGCGAGGCCCACAATTCTATGGGGGAGCCACAGAGAAGAAGAGTCCCAATTCATGCCGACATTCCGAGACATGTCTACTTCGCCAGAGATGTCGACTTCAATGGCCAGAATCGACGGGGTCTAGAATTCATTGACATATCATCCCCCACCAGACAGGAGGCGGTCCGGGCAGCGGCCTCACCCATCCAGGCAGAACCTCGGGCACGGACACATCCAGCGGATCCCTTAGCAATCATCATGGAAGAGTTAAGGGAGATGCGGGAGAAAATTAGCTCCATACCAGGAGTGCCGCCACCATTAGACGTCGTTTCACAGACATGCTACGCTAACTCTCCTTTCGGAAGGCATATCACAGACGTCGAGATTTGAGGAAGTTTGCAGCCCCCTCAATGAAGCTATTCGACGGAACCACCGATCCAATAGAACATGTCGTCCAATATAAGCAGTGGATGCTTTCCGTTTCCGTCACACCAGACCAGCGGGAAGCTTGCATGTGCAGGGCCTTTGGGACAATATTGACTGGACCAGCCTTGAAGTGGTTCGTTATTCTACCAAACGAAGCCATCCATTCATTTACAGAACTCGTCAACATCTTCAATCAACAATTCGCGAGTAGTCAGGTTCTGGAAAAGCAAACAAGTGATCTATATTGAGTGGTCCAGAAGCGGAGCGAGACCTTAAGAGACTACCTTCATAGATTCAACAGAGAAAAAGTGTTGATTCCAAGATGCGACATGTCGGCAGTTGTAGAGGCATTCAGAAGAGGATTGCTAGAAGATTCAAAGCTCAACAAAGAATTGACCAAATATCCCTGCAGGACTTTCGAAGATGTTCAAGCCAAAACCTGACGTTCATCCGGCTTGAGGAGGACCAACAGTCTCGCCAACGGCCCGAGGGTTATGAAGGAGGACACATGAAAGCAAGTTTGTCCAAAAGGCATGAGTACAACGGGCGCCGTGCGTACCCCGTTTGTTTCCTAAGTCAGCCCAAATTGCTTTGTTTCATTTAAATAACACCCCCTAACCCTAATTAAGGGGGATGAGACTTAGAGAGAGCTCAAGAACGAATTAAGAGAGCTTTGGAGCCTGATTTCTTCAACTCTTTAAGATTCTTTGTAAGTTTCTACTTTTTAATTAATGATAATTATTTCTATTTTTCCCAATTCTATTGATTCTTCAATTATGAGTCGAGAGTAGTTTTAATTAGGGATTTGGGATTGATGAAGGGGTTTATCATGATGTATGGCTAGATTCTTGATGGATTAATTGCATGAATGCCGTTTAATTTGTGTTTGAATAATTTAACTGATATCTTTTGTAACCTAGATGGCCACTAGAATTACAATTGCTTGTAGAATAAATTAAGAGAGATCTAATTTGTTCTAGGACACATTCACACACACTTAATTGTTCGCTAAGAGATTAGTAGCGATTAAGGGGTCATAAGCTCACTCGTCTTGACAATAATTTAGGATCTTGTCGCATGAGAGATCAGCCTGGTCCCCTAAATTATTGTACTCTACGACGCGAGAGCGGTAAGAACTTAGTATTGATTAGCTAGGCTCAATTAAATTCATGTAATTAGGCTTGATCTCCCAGAAATCTGATTACCTCAGAATCAATCCATGTTCCCTTCGTCATTAATTAGAAAGAACCCATTAGTTTAATTTCTTTTTTCGCATTAGTTAATTTCCAAAAAATTCCAATCTCGCACAATTGCATTTTATTTTATTTTATTTCTTTTTAATCGCTGAATTTAGTTAATCCTTAATTCCCTTTTGTCCATCCCTGTGGAGACGATACTCATACTTTCAACCACTTTTCTATAACCTTTTTAAGTGCGAGAAAACTCACATCACGTATCGTTTGAAGTCCGCTAACAGTAGGCAGGTCCCAATGAGATGGAATGCGGTACACCTAAAACCCTACCATTTCTAATTAAGTTTTACATAATTACAATCATTTTGATCACTTTACTAACTTGACCATCGGAGGGCCGTTGGCAAGTCAACGGCCAAACTAGTTTAAAGATAGATGTCGATAAAAAACAGAAGGAATGAGAAAAATAGACGAGGCATTACAGGTATTGTTCGAATAAAGAATCCGTTATCAATGACTTACTAAGTTGAGGCGTCTACTTATTCACATATTAATTGATTATTGTCCAGCTAGCCATCATTTCTTTAAATTCGATTATTGTTACATACGGAGTACTTGTTTAAATTCCCAGACTTAAGCATCGAAGGGCCGTTGACCAAAAGCCAACGACCAGACTCTGACAACATGATCTCATGCATGATGTTGCTACAAACTCTAAACATGCTAACGGAAGGCACCCACACACTACCCTTGACAACATAAAAAGAGAGAGTGAGGTTAGTAAGGGTCAATCATATAGAAAAAATGAAAAACAAACCCATATGCCTCGCGTGTTTTGGCCAAAACGACAGATATACCTACAACAGTAGCAATACCCAAAACAACAAACATACGACATACGGAAGAATTTCAACACAATTCAAATCAAAACAAAAGCAACGTCCCCACGCGTTGTGTGAAAACAAAAGAGCAACAGTCAGGGATGATGACCACTGTAATACTTGAGATTTAATTCAAACGGATTAATAATACTACTCATACAAACAAGATGCATCTCCTTTAAAGGGAGCTCATCACCAAGAACTCCAAAGTTAAGCGTGCTTGCACGGGAGTAGTCTTGGGATGACTAACCCCCTGGGAAGTTTCTCAGGGCGCGCACGAGTGAGGACAAAGTGCGCGGAAAAGGCTAGTGGCGGTTTGTGAGGACAGTACTAGAGGTCTGGAGGGTGTGTTAAAGTAACTACCTCGGGTCCTACGGGTCGGGGTGTTACAGGTGGTATCAGAGCAACACTGCGACAGTGTGTTGACCCGTTGGATATCAGGCGGGCACTTAGCGGGGGAGGATTCTGAGATTTGATTGAGATTTGAGATTGGTTTATGAGTGCAACGAGGATGTTGCGTTCCTAAGTGGGGGTGATTGTAATACTTGAGATTTAATTCAAACGAATTAATTGTACTACTCATACCATTAAGATGCATCTCCTTTTAAGAGAGCTCATCACCAAGAACTCCAAAGTTAAGCGTGCTTGCACGGGAGTAGTCTTGGGATGGGTGACCCCCCTGGGAAGTTTCTCAAGGCGCGCACGAGTGAGGACAGAGTGCGCAGAAAAGGCTAGTGGCGGTTTGTGAGGACAGTACTAGAGGTCTGGAGGGTGTGTTATAGTAAGTACCTCGGGTCCTACGTGTCGGGGTGTTACAACCACCAAACACTGGATAAACCACCAGCCGACGTGATCAGAAGTTGTCCGAAAACATAAACACTCCAGAAACAAAAGCAGTAATAGTACGGATTGTCTTATCAACCTAGGTCATTATTCTAAGGGTGGATATTGGGGGCAGAATCAACTTTGGTATCATATGCACCTAAGTCAAAGCCATCATCACCCGCTGGAGGTTCGGTTCCTTCAAAATGCTTCTGCCAGATGGCAATGTCTTCTTCAGGAGTCCATTAGCTCGCCTCTCCAGCCATGAATGACGCCATGATATCTTTCTTGGTTTGCCAAGTATAAAATCCCGCAGCATCAATCACTTCCTGCCTTTTTCTTCTGCCATACTCTTCAAGGGACTTGATCCTATTTGACTTCGTCTTTATGTCCTCCCTTAACTTTTCAATCGTCAAAGTCGCGAATGCTGCCTTCTCTTCTAGGATGAGCTTCTCTTGAGAAAGTTCAGATAACTTCTTCTTAATCTCTTCTTCAGCACACTGAGAGGACTTCAGATCAGCCTCAAGGGTATGCATACGCTTCGCGGCGGCCAGATTAGTCTGTAACATCTAATGGGCACGAAAAGAAACAAAAGTAATTAAGTACCATCTAGGTATGAATGTGAATGAGGACTACAAAAAACATGACGCACCTGGAAAGCTAGAGCAGAGGAAGTAGATAAAATGTCAACATTGGTTATGTCAGAAAGAGTATCAATAGCAGAAGGCAGGAGCTTTTGGGAAATCTCGTCTCTCAACACATTATCAAGACGACACAGATTTGGGGAGAACCCAAATTTCAAAGCAGCATATCCCCCTGAAGGAAGCTCAGACTTATCAGTAGAAGTTTGAGGCGGTAGAGAGAAAATCATCACTTGAGCAGCATTGGTAGCAGGGGGAAGAGGAGGAAAAAATTTCCATTTTTAGATGTCAAATGCAAAAGCACAATTGGATTCAAATGTTACGAACGCCAGAAGTCGATAAAGCAACTAAAAAATACGTCGGATTAAGTCATGGCAACAACAGATGTCGAAAGGAAACAATATAAAAGAAACATATATAACAATAATTTACAAGTAGTAGAAGTTGAAGGCTTGGGAGCAACCAGCGGACGGGTGAGAGAAGCGCACTCTTCCTGAGCGACGACATCGCTAGTGACACTCAAAGTGTCACCCTCCTTCTCTGAACTATCAACTGAAACAGCCGATGTATCTTGGCATGAACCAGGAGATTTAGACACATTTCGGGAGGAACACCGCAAGCCAACATGAACAGGACTGACAGAAGGAGAATGAGCAGTCGTACCTCGGAATTCAAGCTTGAGATTAGAATAAAGGCGAATCTCATGGTCCAAAGCCAGGAAGGCGTTAGTTCTCTCTTCAGCTTGAGGGCCATACTCCAAGGGAAATGTCTTTGTCTGACCTAAGGAAAGAGGAAGGTTATTGAAGATAAATGTCAAAGGCACTACCTCGGATTTTGTAGAGCGAAAGGGGCATGGCCTACCTGCAACTCTCAGACGATCGGGGAGGTAGTTTCCAGGGTCGCTCAACGACGATTTTTAAATAAAGAAAAACTTAGCTAACCAGCCTCTATCGTTGGCGTTGCTAATCCCCAGAATCAAAGGTTCTGCGCCGGGTTTGGTGGTCAAAATGAACTTCCCTTTTTCTGATGTTCATAGGTCATAAGTGAAGCCTAAGTCCTCGGCGGAAAAGTGTAAACCATTCTTTTCAATAAGGAAGACTAGGGAACGTAGAAGCCTCCAGGTCTGCATCATAATATGGCAAGGGGACACTTGAGTGACGGTAATAAAACCTTTTATCAATTCAGAGAGAGGGAAGCGGACGCCGAGCTTCTCAAAGGGATATTGATAGAAACAAACCCATCCAGGGAAAATCCAGTCAGGCCGCTCACCACGTTGAGGGTAACGAATCCTTGCCGAAGGCGGGAAACAATATGCAGATTCAATTTCTTCCTTGTCTTTGGTCTGTAGATCACCGGCTTTTAGGTTCTTGGTCTCAAGAACTCCCTGGCTCTTGAATATCGGTTGCTCCATGGTAGAAGATTACAAGAATAGTGGTGGAGGAAAGCTCGCTTGGAACTGTGTCAAGAAGTGAAGGGAGCGAAGGTCTGTGTGCATCAGGCAGTGAAATCTCCTTTAGAACGACGAGTTTGTCAGATATTGGGTAGAGAGAAAGTTATGGTGGGAAAATGAAACTTAAAATTCGCAATGATGACAGTCTCCTCGGTCGATTCGACTATCACCAATACGAATGGGGGCAATTGTTGGGCCAGTGTTATTCTTTGCAGTTGGATATTGGGTTGGAAATATTTCTCACGTTTGGGCTGGTGGACCACACGCATGAAAGAAGTTATTTGAATCCAAGGAAGACATGAATGCTTCGGACGGTTATGTTGCCAAGTCAATAGCGGATAAAAGTGAATGCAATCACATGTGGAGAAGAAAGCGGAAGCAGGCGCAAGAATCGGAAAAGAAGTAATTTTTTAGCTAATAAATATACTTCTTAATAGCATTAACAGAACATGATCATTAGATCAACCATACTCAAAACATTCGATACTCTTGTAATCAAGCTCTCAATTACATACGAATTACCATTAAATATTCATCCATTTATTCTTGATCAAATCCATTGTCGATTCATATTTGTTTGATTCTCATTTCATTTTAGATTAGTTTATTTTGGCATAAATCGTGTTCACCATTTTTTGATAATTCAAGAACTCTAGGGCAAAATAGACGATAAAGTTTCAATGCCTTTAATGTACCAAATCAAGAAGACAAGAAGGAAAAGGAATAAGGAATAATAAAAATCGAAAAGGAACAAAGATATTGACTACCTTGTTAGTGTGGGATCCGTCCATTGGTACTAAAAACGTTATAAAAATGAATAAAAAAATATCATAGACAAAGTTTTACAGGAATATACATCAATTACATGCTACGTAGATACTAGTCAGAAAAAATAGTGTATACTCTGATAAAAAAAACCACAAATGCAATGAGTGCATTTGACGTTTAGCGATTTGCAATTAGCGTAAATCGGACTTTTGCTAATAGATCGTTAATAACGGAACCAGTGAGCGGGTAGACTAGCGAAAATAATGTTTGGTGATTTAGCTATTTTACCGTAACAATTATTAGAAAATGGTGTATTTCAAAATGCTAGAACAGAACAATTATTTACTAAACAACATTTTCATTTATATTAAAAAACATTAAAAAGATTAAATCACTATTTTTGAATGAAATATCAAATCCTTCCTCTTTATCCGGTGATTCAAATCAGCACGTAGGTTTCAAGAACGCCGCCTCCCAAACCTCATGGCCGCACCAGGTTTTTCTTGACGGCGATTACAACAATGGTCAATTCTTGTGACGGTATTATCAGCATCTCTTGACGTTTCTTTCCCTCTTGCATTTTTGTGGTCTGTCCGATCTTTTCCGGTTTTGTTTTTCTCCCTCAACGGTGTTCTGGTACTCGCCATCTTGGTCGAGTGTGGTGCACCAGTACAAACAGATGGCAATCGGCGAGGACATCGAAGGATTGATCTTCGACAATGACGATGTATGGGAAACTGTGGCGAGCGATGGGAAGGTGACCGTTCCGGTGCTAGGCATGATAGGTTCTCAGACGAATTTTCTGGAGGTTGAAATTCTCTTCTACCATACTACAGAAGCTCACCCTCCTTCGGAACCACCTCCCTGTGAGGAAGTAATTTGGTGAAAGTTGTTATTTTTGTATATAATCATTATATTTATCATTCTTTCTATAAAGTAAGAACAATCTTGTTTTTCTTACTTGATAATAATATATATCAATTGTGCCAAACTTGTGTCCCTTTTCTATCGGTAATTTGATTGCTTGTTTAGAAAAGAGACGAATGAAATATCATTTTCCAAACACGCCACTCTAAAAACATTCTTAATTCATTTATTAAGGGAAAAGGGGCAAAAACACCCATGAAGTTGCCTGCAAAGGTTATCTATGCCCACACACTAATTTTTGCGCAAAAATCTTTAAGAAACTTGAAAATAGGGTAAAAAACCCCTTTAACTAACACCAACAACTTACTAGAACATACAACGGTTAACGTTGCTCACTTGCTATTATACATGCCATATGTACAAAGAAAGGGAAAAAGGAATCAATCAAATTTAATTTCTTTATTTGAACAAATAAACACTGGAATAAATAACTCATTGCTTTGGGTTCCATAAAAAAACTCACTTTTATGATGTTTAATTTTAAGGATGTTTTTACTTGGACTCTTTTCAGTCTCAAACCAGACCAGATCAGACTTAAACAGATTAGACCAGATCAGTTTAGACCAGATCAAACCAGGTCAGACTTCTATCGTTATAAAATACACAGAGATCAGACTTTTACAAGACTAGAGTAGACCAGACTTAAACAGACCAGATCAAACCAGACTTAAACAGAACAGACCAAATCAAACCAGCAAATTTAAGTCCAAGTAAAAATATCCTAAGTATTAAAAGTACAAAGTTAATGTTTAGTCCTATTTAGGGAAGATTTAAATTTTACTCATATTTGTGCAGTTATGTGTAGGTTAAGTCATATTTAGGATAATTTCTCAATTCAAAATACAAAAATTTGTATGACATTAAAATTACACATTCATTTAGTTGGGTCTTTTTTAAAAAACAATTTTTTAAACAAGTAAAAAAAATTAAATTATTCTAACATTAATACTCATATAAGTTGCACCATCTATTAGAACTTGCAACATAATATTAAACTAAAATAAATATTTTTCTTGGGATCCCTTTTTTCTTCAATATAGCACAAGCTAAAATTTAAAACCAATAATACTCCGTATTAAACCTAGTACACACTCCGTATTTCCTTTAGTTAAAGGGGTTTTTGCCCTCTTTTCAGGTTTTACCCCTTTTCCCATTTATTAAGTAAGAATGACCTGCAAAAATTAAGAAGGGCGAAATCAGAATATCAGATGAGCTGCAAAAGTTCCAGCAAGCGAGTTTAGGTGTTGCATCTCATAAAAGATGGCGACGGCCGGAGTTCATCACAGCCTTCCCTTCTGCTCTCTCCGGCCACTCTGTCCATCGCTGCTGCCGAGGCTTGCATTCCAAGTGCACCGATTCTCCAATGTTTATGTTTCCATCCCAAGAGTTGCAACAATTGTGAACGAATCTCGCAGGAAACCGTCACCCTATGAATTCAAAGCAGTTTGCAGAAGCAAGGGCAATAGTCGGAAAGAAGAGGCGTTCTTGGACCAAAACGGCGTCGTGCAAGACATGGATGCCTATCTCGATTCTCTCTCCCTTGAATACGACTCCGTTTGGGACACCAAGCCCTCATGGTATTTTTTTCATACCGTTTTTCTAATATAGTAGTCACTCTGCAGTTGTCTCATTTTTCTTTTTAAGTTCGTTAAGATTGTCCCACAACAAATTTTGTAAAGTTTGTATGGTTTTAAATGATTCTTTTTTTATTCTTATTTTATCATTTCAATATCAACTCAATTAGTGAGACTGAGATAATACAATGCTAAAATTAGTGTATTGTAGCTTATCAAAAGGCAACATGACATACCAATAGCAGCTCGCCAGCTCCGGTCTATGACTAACAGTAATTTTCGTGACAATTTTTTTTTTAGAATTTAAATAACCAAATACTTTTTCCAATTATAATTTAGATAGTAATATATGAAAATAACATATAAAATCAAGCTTTTGAAAGGCATATGAAAAGATATTTTTATGAGTTTTTTGACGATCGTTAACTTTTAGTAATTGAAATGGTTTTAAAAAGAAAATGTGATAGTTGTTTGATAAAAAGTGGTTGTTTGATTTAGTTCTTTTTGACATACAAGTCAATTGAGATTAATGGTATGTTTGGCACAAATACTTGAAAAGATACTTTTATAGACTTTTTAGTGATTTAAAAGATCTTAAAACTAAAAGACACTAGCAGTTTGATAAAAGGGTGGATAGGCAAGTAAAAAGGGGTAGCTGTTACGGACCAAAACGGCGTTGTACAAGACATGAATGCCTATCTCGACTCTCTCTACCTTAAAGGTAAAATGCAGTAGTTGTTATGGTCAAATAGCCAAATTACCAAAACAAGATTCGCAGACAAAAAAATATTCCCCACAGATAGGGGTGGACTTGGGCCGGGCCAACCGGCCCGGAACCGGACCGGCCCGCCACTGTGCGGGCCCGGACCGGCCCGGTGAACCGGTTGGTTGGCCGGTTCGGGCCACCTGGCCCGGTGGATTCTCGGTTCGGGCTCGGGCCCTTCAAAAGGTGAACCGGCCCGGCCGGTTCGGGCCAATTTTAATTTTTTTTTTTGAAATTTTTTTGAGTTTTTTTTGAGTTTTTGGGTTGGGCTTGGTATTTTGGGCCATTTGAGGTGGTTAGGGTTGGTTTGGGGTGAGGGGGAGGGGGAGGGGTTAACTAGGAAAAGCCCAAAAAAAAAAATATACCCGAGGCCCGGCCCGGACCCGGGGGTTACCCAGGCCGGTTCCGGGCCTACCATACCTTGAACCGAGGCCCGGCCGGTTCAAGGCCCGAACCGGGCCCGGCCCGAACCGAGTCCATTCCTACCCACAGAGGTGAATATAAGGGTGGGTACACCCACACGGATAGCTCAGTTGGTTGAGTGGCGGGAATTTGGATCAAGGAACCCTGGTTCGAGTCCCCGCAGCGACCGCTTGGAGGCCACAGTCTCTAAAATGGGCTGGACCTCTGACGGTCACGGGACATATGAGCCTACTGCTGCTCCGTCGACTGAGTCACCATGATTTACATCCTCCCATGTGCCCTGTCGGGTCGGGGTGTGGGGGGCTCCGGGGGTGGGAGATTCCACCTTTTGGATCAAGGGTGGGTGCAAGTAGTAAAATTGAAATGAAAAAGAGGAGAGGGATAGAAGTAAAGTGTAGACAATGTCCATACATGGACTTTACACGAGGTTTGAGGAACTAAAGTGAATGAAAAGTGGGTTAAAAGTCACATAAAAAATGTAAATGAAAATAAATATGAGAGTATTTAGATTCTACACGTGTAAGGGTAGTTTGGTCTGGTAGTTTCAACGAAGCTTGAATAAGTTCGTGATATTTGGTTCCTTGGCGCCGTAGGTGCATTGAAATATATTTCTGATTTTGATGGTGAAGAGTATATACATGTTTTGTCTGTTATGATTGTTAATAGGTGCCAGCCATGGACGATAGTAGTGACTGGTATACTAGCCATCACAGCTAGCTGGATTGTTTTGCACTCTGGTTTAGTCACTGCTGTGGTTATCACTTTAATCTCTGCCTGGTGGTACATCTTTCTATACTCTTACCCCAAGGTACCTCCCCCTCTCCACTCTCATTTACTAGGGGCTCGTTAGGATTACTAATCGAATTACTAAGAATTAAGCAAAATCGCAATTAGGTTCCATCAGGAAGAGAGGAACACAATAATGATGGAAATTAAATTAAGAGTATATATTGGAAAATTTGAATGCAAGATTTTTTGGGTAAACATCAATTCAATCTCAATATATTTGTTCGTTATATTCGTTTAAGAATTCATAGTTTTATAAGAGTTAAGAAGTATACTGTATACCCCTCTGTCCCTATATGAACTTCAAAGAAAGCAGTATATAGTTGACATTGTCTCTCTTAGGTCTTTAGATTTTAGGGGTGTTTGGATTTGATTCTTAAAACTACTTCTGCTCGTTCAGGGAGCAAAAGCATAAGTTGGAGTGTTTGGGTAAAAGTGCAGAAGTGATTCTGGTGCTCTAATTTACTCCTAGAATCAGTTTTTTTAGAAGCTGGGGTGACCAGCTTCTGAAAACTGATTCTTATTCTGCTTTAAAAAAGAAGCAGAATCAGAATCAGTTCAAAACACCCCCTTAGACTACAATGCTTATATTCCCAATAAAATTGGAAGAGTATAATAAAAGTAATGGAGGGACGGAGTATTAACCATATTTGGTTTTCTTTTTGCATTTTCAAGATCAAACCCAACACAGGAAAATTACTGTGGTAATCATTGTCATTTTTCTGTACTTGTCATTTTCAATGATCCAAAAATGTCCTTGATTCTCAGTATTTTAATATAGACTTCAGTTCACTTTTGTTCCAATAGCTTGATTAGCAACATTTATCAACACTGGACTTTGACTCTTAATATATTGAATTAGTACAAATGTATCTAATACTCCGTAGTAGAAATGATGAAAAAATGTATCTAAATTACGTTGGGACATCACCTCACCTTATTCCTGAGAATTAGAGGCCAACCGAAACAAGGCAAGAACACTGTTGATAGATTCATCACTTTACAAAAGGTAATTACCATTTCTTATTCGCCAGGTTTATGCAGAGATGATAGCCGCAAGAAAAGAGAGAGTAACAAATGGGCTAGAAGATACATTTGGAGAAAGGAAGGGGCAGTGACATCTCAGAAGTCAAATCAATAGCAATTTCCTTAGACAATCAATTTGTACTTTTGTAGCACTCTGTATTAATCAGTATGGGTATTTAACATTTTGACATATCAAGTTCTCATGCGGTTCTGTACAAAGTACCAATACATAAATCTGACTACTAATGGATGAAAATACAGTACACCTCTTTAGCATGACTTTATACCTTATTCCCGCTCAGGAGTCGGGAGATATCTATCAATCCATCCCTTTTTAACCAAACATCTTTGCAGTTTGGAGTTCTATCATTAAGCAATATATGACCTCAACCAAAAAATTCCTGAATAAACAGGATGCCTACCTGGGAAGAAAATATGGCAAACAATCCATTATGACCTTCATCTCCTTTATGCAGAAATAACATTTTGAAAAGAAAAAACATTGGCAAATTTGAGCTACATTGAAGAAGATAATAATGAGTGCTATAGGGATTATATATCCCTACACTTGATATATTTCAGCAAGGGTTGGTTAGATTTTTTGCGTGATTGAAAAAACATGTGTATTTTATGCTTTATCTACCGCGTGCATCAGATCAGGTTTAATGCACGGTGCATTAGATAAGGACTATTGTGCATCACATCGAGAATTTGGACGGCTCAAATTCATTCACATTATACACGTTAAGATTCCTTTTTATTTGAACCAAACTCTCTCTCTCTCTCTCTCTCTCTCTATATATATATATATATATATATATATATATATATATATATATATATATATATATATATATAACCATAATACTTGACCCACAAAATAGAAAGTGTGTTTAAACTGTTTAAACTGTTCCTGAAATGGGAGTCATTTCCCGTACTACTCCAAACACTTTTGTGCCAAACAAAGCAAAATCAGAAAATATTTTCCAGTAAAATGCATCTATCTTTAAAGCAATGAAGCCTGGGTAAATGTTTAGGACAAAGAATATGGTGAAACAATAAATACTTGATTCAAATCTGAATCCAGTATATATTATACATTAATCTGGAAGTTCAGAAAAACAAAAGTCTATACATTAACCAGTTAGGATGTAACTAACCAAGAAGAAGGGCTGAAAAAGAAGACTGTTGTTAATCTTGAACCCAAATCCTCACAGTTCTGTCGTCATCAAGTCCAGCAGACACAATCATGTTCGCTAGGGGATGACAACTCACAGAGATGACAGTATCATTGTGTCCCTCAAGCTTTTGCAGCAAATTCTTGTCTTTTTGCAGATCCCATATGTACACACAATGATCTTCAGAACCACAAACAATGTACTTTGCATACGTCACTGAAAATGTGGGTGTAATGCAATAACTTCTGTTCATATGCTTAGTATATGTCTTCATTATCTTTCCAGTTGCGTAATTCCAGAGTTTCTTCAAAGAACCACAAGAAGGAAATTCATATAATGTGGAAGAACTAAGTCTTTATTTGGTTAACATATAATACGAGAAATAAAAGCTGTCTACAACTGTTATCTGATCTAAATTTATTAAAATCTGCTGGGTTTAGTTTGGATCTTTATGGTCTGGTACACTTTGATTACATTTCAATGTTTTTGATGCTGTCTTATTTTTTGCCTGAAACATAAGATTTGGTTTGGTCTGGTTGGATTTTTTATCCAGCCTTAATTTATCGTGTCGGTCTAAATCTTTTTAGTCTGATCTGAACTTTTTTTCTAGTTTGAACCTATCCAACTTGAATGGTTTTGGTATTGCATGATTAAAATAAGAATAAGAATAAATAAACAAAATTGAGCAAAACACCACCTGAATCTCCTCCCAATTTCAACAAAATTATTCTTCATTTCTTTTACACAAAATAATACTAAAATCTAACTGATTTATCTATTATTTTTCTCCTCTCAGTCTAGTTTGAATCCATTTCTATGTTCTCTATATCTTCTCTAAACCAAGGGGCTGGATTGTGCATATCTTTAACATGCGTGAGTATTTATATACAAGCATCATCGATCCTAAAATCACATATTCACATGTGAATCTTAATAGACGCAAGTGATTGTTACCAAGCAGCAGCCAAAATAAAGAAGCACATAAGTTCTTCAAAAGTTATAGATTTCATGATTTAGAGAGATTTTATGAAAGCATAACTTACTAGAGTGTCATCCAGAGTAGCCACGAGTATGAACTTGCCGTTTGGAGAGAACTTGGCAAACGAAACAGGGACTTTATTATCATCTATAAGGGTCTTCAAGCAGGCGCCACTGGCTGTATCCCAAGTCTTACATGAGCCGTCATGGCTGCTGGAAACAATCATGGTCCCGTCCTTGTTGAAATGCACCGCGGTCACGGGCATGGAATGCGCCCGAATCACGTGCACGGACTTGCCCGTTTTCACATCCCAAACCCGAATAGTCTCGTCGAATGATCCCGATGCGATGAGGTTGGACTGGGGATTGAAATTGACGCAAAAAACGAAATTGGTGTGGCCTCGGAGAGTTTTGCGGCACTCCCCGGAGCTGGCAACCCAGATGCGAATGGTGCAGTCATCGGAGGCAGAGCAGATGTAGGTGGAGTCAGGGGACCAGGCCAGGTCGGATATTCCGTCGGAGTGGCCGACGAGTTGTGAGAGCTTCGTTAGGGTTTCGGATGACCAGACGATTAGAGTTGTGTCCAGAGAGGCGGAGGCGAAGAACTTACCATCGTTGGAGAACTTCACACATGATACGGCGCGTGCATGAGCCGCGAGGACTTTCCTCTGCCGATACGGGCGGTAAGGTAGTTCGTTATTGTTGGTCGCCATTGGATTGTCTAGCGGTGCCGGTAGCGGGCGGGTTTTATAAATAAAAAATCTAAGCATAAATGATAAGACCAAACAAAACCAAATCAGATCAGACTTCCATAATTATAAAAACACAGATATCAAACATTATCATATCAAACAAAATCAGACCAGTTCAGATAAGACCAGACTAGTTCAGACTAGACCAAATCAGTTTAAACCTAAATAGATCAAACTAAATTTAAATTTACTAAATCAAAACATACACAAGTCAATTATTTGTGTCATGTTTATTTAAATAGGGATGTAATAGAAACTCTTCAATGCCCTTTTTAAGAACATTTAGGTTGTTTTTACTTGGACTTTAATTTGTCCCAAACCAGATCAAACTAGATCAGACCAGACCAAAACAGACCAGATCATACCAGACTAGACTAAAATAGACCAGACCAGACCAGACCATATTATTATTATTATTATTATTATTATTATTATTATTATTATTATTATTATTATTATTATTATTATTATTATTATTATTATTGTTGTTATTGTTGTTGTTGTTGTTGTTGTTATTAGTAGTATTATTACTATTATTACTTAGGGGTGGGCACAGTCCGGAATGGTCCGGTAAATTGGTACAACCCGTAATGTATCCATGAGGTTTTTAACGGTCTGGTACGACCCGGTTCCAAGGATAGAACTTTTCGGTACCATGTCGTTTCGGAACGGTACAAAATGGTACAGTACAATGCCAAACACATGCTAAAAAATTTGAATCAGTCTTGCAATTAGTAAATATCATCACACCAACCAAATTAAATGAAATGTTGATATAAATACAAGAAATTATTTGTGTCATGTTTATTTTTAAAAGGGATGTAATAGAAACTCTTCAAAACAGACCAAACTAAAACAGTGTAATAGGTTGTTTTTACTTGGACTATAATTTGTCTCAGACCATATCAGATCAGACCAAAACATACCAGACCAGACTAAAACAGACCAGACCAGACCAGATCAGACCATATTTTATTATTATTGTTGTTATTATTATTATTATTAGTAGTAGTAGTAGTAGTAGTAGCAACATCAGCAGTATTGTTATTATTGTTATTATTAGTAGTATTATTACTATTATTACTATTATTACTATTATTATTACTATTATTATTAGTATTATTATAATTGTTTTTATTGTTATTATTATTAGTAGTAGTATTACTTTTTTTCAGTAGTATTATTACTATTATTATTATTACTATTACTATTATTATTATTATTATTATTTTAAGTAGTAGTACTAGTAGTGTTATTGTTGTTATTACTAGTATTCTACCCGTGCGATGCACGTCAAATAATCATATGCAATAATATATGGCACAAGATAAAAATTAAATATTTGAAATATAAAATTAATACATAAATTAACTTTAGATGCATGATAGAGTATATATTCTAGAGAGAAGTGAGAGATAGGGAGAGAAGTGAGTTGTATTAATTATTTTCGAACTCTTTACATGGCTCCCAAGGGGAGTATTTATAGGAAAAAGTGGGCTGAGCTCCCAAGTCTTGGACTTGGGAGGCCCATTGCAATATAAGGCTTCTATTGGGCCGATTACAAAGTATGTAGAAATAGCTAAGTATGGAAGTCTAGCTCTGTGAGTTCCCTGTGGCCGAAGGAGGTTCGGCCGAAGGAGGCACCTGGCCGATGGAGACACGGCCAACGGAGGACCATCCGAGCTGATTGCTGCCTGGGCCATATTCTGAGCTGACTGTTGGCTGGCCGACGGGGGCACTGGCCGACGGAGGCACTGGCCGACGGAGGCACCGGCCGATGGAGGACAATTCTTCTCCTTGGCTTCTGGACCATATTCTGGATCGACTCTTCTTCGGCCAAAGGAGGTGCCTGGCCGATGGAGACACGACCGACGAAGGACTATCCGAGCTGATTGCTGCCTGGGCCATATTCTGAGCTGACTGTTGCTTGGCCGATGGGGGCGCCGGCCAACGGAGGCACTGGCCGACGGAGGCACCGGCTGATGGAGGACAATTCATCTCATTGGCTTCTAGACCGTATTCTGGATCGACTCTTCTTCGGCCGAAGGAGGTGCTTGGCCGATGGAGGTCCCCCTGGATGACAGTTGTGCTCCTCTTAGTCTTCTGAGTACGTGGGTCATGGGGTCTGGACCCATATACTCTATCAGGAGTCCCCCACTCTTTGAGCTGAGATGCAGATGAAGTGAAAGGGAGTAGATCCTTGTTGTTCTGAAGATGAGTGCCCTTCATTTCGAGGATGATGAATGCCCTTCATTTCGAGGACAATGAGTGCCCCTCATTTCGAGGACGATGAATGTCCTTCATTTTGAGGACGATGAATGTCCTTCATTTCGAGGACGATGGATGTCCTTCATTTCGAGGACGATGAATGTCCTTCATTTAGTCCAGAATCATTAGAGCTATAGGAGGAGCAGGATGTTACCTCGATATCGTTGTAGTGGTCCTTGGCCATTAAGCATTTAGGAGAGCTGCTTGCATTAGTTTCACTTGAAGTGGTGGAAGATTCACTGAGCCACCTGCTGCTCTCTGCAGTGAGACAACTGCTGTCATTTTCACCTACCTGTCAGGATCCCAGGCATAGAAGTGCTTCCTCTGAGCTCTCAGATGAAGAGCTTTCATCACTTGAGCTGCTTTCTTCTTCAGATTGGGTTTCCTCCTTTTTCTTTTCACTAACAAAGGCTTGTCGTTTGCCTTTGAAGTCCTTTTTGTAACCAGCTTTGTAACCAATCCCCTGCTGCCCTTGAAATTTCTGGGCTAAGGGCAGAGGACACTCATTCTTGTAATGTCATGGTTGTCTACAGTTGTAGCACATGACAGTTTCCTCGCTGGTTTGAGGTCTCCCTTGTTTCCTGGGTGGCAGACTGTATGGTCTTCTTGGAGCAGTTCCCTCCTTCTTCATAAACCTTTTAAACTTCCTTACAAACATGGCAAATTGGTCGTCGGTAAGGAGGTTGTTGAGGGATTTCTCACTGGATCTTGAAGGGCCAGGCTCAGACACTAGAGCTAGTGTCTTGGATTCATCTTCCTTTTCTTCTTTTATTTCCTTCATCTCAAATTCATAGGCTTTGAGATCACTGAAGAGCTTATCAGTTGATAAGATTCTTAGATCTCTGCTATCTCTCATAGCAGTCACCTTCATGTCCCATTTAGAGGGCAGGCCTATCAAGACTTTAAGGGAAATCTCTTTTTGAGATAGATCTTTCCCTAGGTCTGAGACCTCTGCTGTGATCTTTAGGAACCTAGTTTCCATCTATTGGATGGACTCATTTTGCAGCATTTTGAAGTCCTCAAATTTCTTGAGGGCCATGGTAAGTTTGTTGTCCTTCTCCTGTTCATCACCAGCTCCAATTTTTGTGAGCTCATCCCAAACGTCCTTTGGTGTTTCACATTTCCTAATTCTGGGAAATATGGATTCATCAACAGATTTAAAAAGAATATCCTTGGTAATGTTACCAAGGTTGTTTATCTTTCTGTCCTCGGTTGTCCATTCCAGTTTGGGCTTGAGAATGTACACATCCTCCTGGTCATCAGTTTTGGATGTGCTGACCTTCATTATCCTGATTCTCCAATCATCAAATTTGTTTAGGTTGAATAGGAGGTTTTTGGCAAGTTGACTGTCCATTGTTTAGAAAGTGTTTGGGAGAGGGAAGTGACTTTGGATCTTTAGTTCAAATTAGTCAGGAACTGACTCTAGGAACACTCCGCTCTGATACCACTTGATGGTCCCGGATAGGGTAAAAGTCTAGGGGGGGGGGGGGGGGGGTGAATAGACTTTTAAATCTTTTCGATCCTTACAAATATTTCCCTCTAGAGGAGTTGATCTATAATCTTTTGGGAGATTAATAGATGCACAGCGGAAGTCTTTACCCTTTATATAATGAATGTTTTAATCACTTTCTGATCTGGAGAAGATTGGACTTAGATGGCTAGCAGTTGGCTTCGCAGTTGGTTTGGCAGTTAGCTAGGTAGCAGGGAACTGCTCAGGCAACTGCTCAGATTTTGATCTGACTTTCAGGAATTGAACGTACTTTTTGACAATGATATTTATGGCAGGCTGATGAAACTGAGATGGTCACAGGAAGTGACTTTTATGTGAGCAGAGGGCTCATCAGTTGGGTGGTCTCAGGGAACTGCTGAGGCACCTGCTATACATAGAAAGTGAATTACTGGGAGATGGCAGAGTTGACCTTTTAGAGATGGTGAGGTGCGTCTCAGGTGTGAAAATGGTCTTAAAGAAAGCAAGTGATTAAGCAGTAGGATAAGCAGTTGGGTCAGTTAAGACAACTGCTTAAGATTCAGCTGGCAAACTTCAATCCTTTTTGTGAGAAGTGCTAAGTGTGTGCTTTGTTTACTGAATGTAAATCAACACACAGTATATCCTGGTTCAGAGGTGGTGTAATCCTCCTACGTCCAGTCCCACCCTCTTTCAGATGGATTTCACTAAAGTATTAAGCCCAATACACTTAGTGCCAATCTAGCCTTTACAACACTTAGGCCTAGATTGAAGGTTTTTCACAGTGAGTATAGCACCACTCAAAGTTACTCAGTCCTTAGACTTTTCTCTAATGACCCAGTGGGGATCAAAAGGTACTCTATCTATCTACTTACACTGTAGGATCCGAACAACTTTTCTCCTAAGTGTTTACAACAATATGTGATTTGTTTCAAGAAAGTTCTAACCTCCAACTAGGAACTAAACTTCTATAATATGGCAATGAAAAGCTTTGTAAACTGGAAGTTTAGTGAAGCATAAGTCCAAGCAGAGAGTAAGGTTTAGAATAGCACTTTCTCTTTTGCTAGATCTTTCGTAAATGCTCTTGATATAAATTCTCTCTTTGGATGCTTAAATGCTTGATTAGAAACTTTCGTTTCAGCCTCTATTTATAGGCTTTTTGGCTGATCAATCTTATCCGTTGGTTAGGATAAATTGATTTCTGTCGTTGATCTTCTGGCGAGGACGAATTGTACATTCGTCTTTTTGTGCTGGAGCA